TTCAAGCCTGGTCTGTCAAAGGAAATTGTTCATTCCACCCTTCCTAACTGAACCCACTGAGACAAATATACAACAATGTTTAACACAAAACTATTTGAAAATGTGTTTGGTATATATGTCCTTTATAGTTTATGCTGTTTTCACTTAACTCTCTTCTGTAAAATTACTAAAATGTGTATGATTTATGTGTTGGGGACAATGGCCTTAAACACTGTATAAAACACATACCTATCTACCTACTTACTTTACTGTTACTGTCAAGCCAACATAAATACTTCATTGGGATCGCAAGAAATCAAATTCGGTGAATTTTGATAGCCCTGGCCAAACATTAAAAAAATCAAAGCCATTGTGTAAAATTTCTAACCAAAACCAGCATTGGAAACCAATGTAGAGTAGAAGTTCTGAGGACTAGATGGTTAGCACACGCTGCCCTAAAAACTCCACAACCTTTTGCCCTCATTAACTCAACATCTTAAATGCCAGGAAGAAGGCTAATCCAACCATTTCCGTTGCAGACAGAAAGGTAATATTTTAGCTGAAGCATTAAAACAATGAATGTGACTTTCTTCCTTGATCTTAAAATTTAACAAAAAAGAATCGATGTCTGATAATTACTTTTTAAACATAAAAGTTTTAAAAGCAATCTAAAACGAGCATAAATATGAGACAAAGATGAAGCCTTCCAAAAGATCTAAATCTTGCAAATCTGTAAAAATAAACAGTTTAGGCGTATCAAGTTAAGACAGGGTGTGCCCATTTGATGAATAGCATGACAGGAGCAGTAAACAACTCATAAAAGACAATATTTCCACACTTCTCAATTGAAAATCTAATTTCAACTACACACTAAAATAATTTTTAAAAACATAAGAAAAACAAAACATCAGCAGTGATCAGAACTCAAAAGCTCCACTTAACCCCTTCATGAAATAAGGGTCAGTTCATTTTCCACCAAACACAAACTACAACAAAACGGCATTCCTCATGCTTCCAGTACGCCACAGCAGCAACTTGCTTCCTTTGCCATATATAAACAAAAAATGACGGACAGCATGCGTCACGTAGGTCACAAGTGGCTTAAGCGGTACAAGTACGGTTCGGAAAGTGAACAGGATGTCCTCACCTTCAGCAGCCAAAAAATAACCAATTTTAAAAAAGCATGAACATTTATTTCATAAGAATAAGACTGAGATCAGTTTTCTTTTCTAACAAGTGCTACTTGCACTCAAAGTCAGAGAACAGTGAATAAATAAATGCAGAAACAAAAGAACGCAGCAATCTGACTACAGAGTCATCATTATCTTTTATATCAAAGAAAAAAACAATGCTGCTATATACACAGATTTTTAAGTACAGTGTTTGTGTATGTAGAAGGGCCAAACAACATTGCGAAATGGTGTAAACACCCCCCCCTCCCCTCACCCGAAGTAAAAATACTCAAAACCAGGAAGAAAGTATGTATACTGCCATCCTTTATAAATCTTGGATGAAGTAATCTTGAGGTTAGAGAGAGAGAGAGAGAGAAAGAGAGTGAGAGAGAGAGAGATTCTCCCACAAATTCTTTGGGATTTAAATAAACTGGCTTTAATTTCCGATTCTGATCCGAAGAAAGATGCAATGATACACAAATTCCTCCGATTCACAGCCCTTGACTTGAGTTCAAATGAATAAAATACAGTGGAATCCACTTATAACGAGTCCTGAAATAACGAGAAGTCTGTTATGAGGACACTTTTCCAAAACCCCGTTTTTTTTCCCTTCTTTATCTTTGTAAATAAAATACTGCTATAGCACAATCAAAGAAACACGCGAGTCGGTTATTGTGGAATATTGCTGCTGCTGTGCACAGCGCCAAGGACATTTATTCATGTAAAACCTCGCCAGTTGAAAAACTTGTTGGTGATCTTGCAAAACAAAGAATGGGAGAGCCCACGTGTGCCAATAATGAAGGCCGGAGCGAATGAGTGGGGAGAATGTGGCATGCACAGACAAGCAGAACGCATTGCGTGATAGGCCTGCCTACTCTAGATTATCTTGGCCTACCATGTCTCTCACTTCTCCAATGCGGGGATGGAGAGGTCATAGTGCTGCACTGTGATGGACGGAGCGAGTGTTTGACATGGGCGGGGTGTGGTATGTTCCCATTGGGCGCAAGCAGACGGAACGCACCACAGGGTGTGATGGGGTGGGGGACAACACAGCGGGCGAGTTAGCCTAGAGAACTTTCTTTCTGATCGCCAATGTCAAGCTGTCAATATCGCTAGCGTTTGAGAAAGAAACCCGATTCGACTTTTGATCAAGTAAGACTTAAAGGTCATGTTGAATAAAATCATCATTAGGGGAGAATACATAAAGAAATAATCCGAAAACCAGACTCATAGATTAGGCCTACTTTACTATTTCCCTTAAATTTATTACTGGATCCCTTATAACGAGAATCTTGATATAACGTACATTTGGCACCGGTCCCCTCCCTCTCATTATAACAGGATTCCACTGTATAATTTTTTTCTCAGGCTTTCTTGTTGCAAAAAAAACTAAGTAGGATTCCTTTTCTTAACTTATCAAGCAAAATCTATGTTCTACAGTCAATCCAACTTGTATCCAGTCAGCCCTTTGTACACCTTGTTGGCGATATGGCACTCCCTAAAGCAGTGTAGGATGTGGTTTACACTGTCTGGCCCACAACCACAAATAAACAATTTTTGGAAAGCTTTAAAGCCAGGTCACTGGGCACCAAACTTTGAATGTTAGAAACTGATTGAAAATCTTCTCATATAACTTAGTTCATTTAGAGAGCAGGCTGCGACTACTGCCTGTCAGGGCCAAAACCAGGCTGAGCAGGATACAACATGCCATTAGAAAAACAGAAATACTATATAAAATACAATTCCCAATGCTAGAATTGAAACAAGGACTTTCATGCACAAGACAAAGAACTCGAATCATTCCAGAACCAATGCCAGGTCCCCAGATCTCTAAATCCTGAGACTTAAAACCAACGGTTTCGATAGCGAATATGATTGCATGAACAAGCCCAGCTTTTACGGATTTATGCTAATACTGTACACTGGGGTCTGATACAATAATTCAATAATGAAAAAAAAAAAAGAAGGAGTAAACGCTTCACAACTTGAGCAAATTTTTCTGCAGCTACAATTAGTCAAGCTTATTTACAAGAAACACCAGTACACCACAACGGTGCACATATTACATTACAGAGAGGTACTCGTCGTGAGAACTGCCAAGTCTTGGAAGTACTTCATATCATACAATAGTTGTGGGGGGGAAATCCCTTAAAAAACAGAAGCATTGTTATGGCTATGGATGCCAATATTCAACCCTCATGTCATATGATTAGGAAACTCTCATATGTATAGAACATCTATGCTAAAAGTAGGAACAGTAACATTTTATTTTCTTGTTACTGAGGATAAACTGTTGTGAACATTTAATGATGCTTTATGTCAGCAAAACTTAAAAGACCATTACAAATCTTTCTGATTTTTCTCAGTCATAGCTCTATCTTTCTATCTCATAGGACAGTAAAAGCAAAATTAAAAAGTCAGGCAAAAAATATACTCGAAACTGCACACAACAAATCTTCATTGCAACGACAATGAAACAAATATAACAATAACACACATTAAAAAAAAAACTATTTTAGTCCAAAGTTTGTGCCTTCTTTCACAGATGGCAATGCAGAAAAAGAACAAGCTTCACATCGGCAACAGGAGACATTCCACTACCCAGCAATTCTTTTAAATAGAGACTTATCACAGCAAAGCTGAATAATATCAGAATACAACACAAGATTTCAGATCATGACATTGCAAACAATGAATGTCAAAACGAGCCAAACAAAAGCCTGACGATACAAAGTGATATTAGTAAGTACGTACATTTTGCCAGGCAGCAGACAAGGACAACAGTATAGAAAACAAAGCAGAAGGAGGCAGATCTCACCGCCAAGATCTATCTGTTCTGCAGAATGCTGCTTTATTTATTTACAATTTCTACAACATTATACAGGGGAAGAAAGAGACCTGCTCTTGTTGGCGGCATCAGTACAGATAGCCACAGGAAAGACTTTTTACTTAGCTAGCAACAACAATTTTTTTTCTTTGCTAGCACTTCCTTTCAATCCATTCTGAGCAAATAATTAAGCAGTTAACACACAAAACACTACAGTGGAACTGAGCTCGGATTCAACGAGATGAGGTAGATTCCCCATTTTTTTTCTTCTTTAAAATCAATCAAAATAACCCGGATTCAACGAGCACTTAAATCAGCAGGCTCAGATTCAACGAGGTCGCTTCCAGGGTGAACAGCCCCTGCAGATGTGGCTTCACTCATTTTTCTCCGAGAACAAACTTTATATATTCCTGGAAACCATCCATTGCACCTGCATCGTGAACCATTATTCACTTAGCCAATGGCATGCGACCAGTTGCGGTCTTTTTTTCATACCAACACATGCGTTGTTGGCACGTGCACGTGTCTACTCTGGCATGTGTCGGGGTCGGATGGGCGGCCTTGCACACGTGTGGCTGTGTGTGCGTGTCGGGGAGGGGCACTAGCGGTCCTGGCGTTGAACATCACAGATACAAATGCGTCAGTCTTTTTTTCCTCGGCAACTGATCATTATTACAATGACAAGCTAGTCTTGACGTAGATCTATGTGATGAATTGTGCGCAGATCTATGGAATCAAAAGTTGCCGTATGCTAGGCTCTACACAGCAACACAACGTTTTGGTAAACAATCGAGAGGACACATGCGTGTGCGTTTGAACGAATCAGCCTTTTTTTAAAACAGCTCATAAAATGCAGGCATTTCAGGCACTACTTGTGACTTCTCTTTATACATGACTTGCTCAGTGCCTGTAATTATCTACAAAAAACCTCGTGTTTGCTATAACGAACACTCAGACTCAACGAGATTTTAGGTCAGGCCCAGCGACCTCGTTAAATCTGAGTTCCACTGTATCTTTTTTTCTTTCTAAAAATTGTGATAATAGATTTTGGGATGGTCACAGCACTTCAAATTCAAATAGAAAATTCACCCACATAATAAAGATAATACTGACTCAGCCCGTTATAAAGAAACAAAGGAAATATATTGTTCATTCTGAAAAGGCTAAGAGAATGGGAAAGGATTAATGGAATTAAGAAGAATTCACTCATTTTCTGTTAGAAGAAATAAAGTTCAGGTTTTCAGACAAAATCAAGTTAGGAAATGTACAGTTGTACTTAATTTTTGTCTTTATTTAGACGATATTTTGTCTGAACAGCCATTATCTCAAAATGTACAGTGTTTCTCATGGGGAAAGAGTGTGAGGTGAGCAGACACCATACAAAACTATTTCATCCTAAATTGCAGTCAGTTCTCCTCAAAGATACTCCCTAGCTGTATACTATGGTGGTTGAATGAAATTTCAAAAACAGATGGGGTAAAATGACAATAATCTTGATCATGAAAAGACATTGTCATAAATCCCAAGGGCTTAGTTTTCTTGAGAAATGTATTTATTATCTTTGAGTGTCCTGCTATTGCTTCAGTGCATACACCTTTTTCAGGCTGTTTACAACTTGTCCCTCACGGGGCTCTGATCGGTGACACCGGCTCCCCCCCCCCCATGACGCCGATCGGCGATAGTGTAATATAGTAATATAAACGTAGTAGGCATGTACTCTTTTTAGACATACCCACATGTTAAAGTCATAGCTTCCTTCGAGAGCAGTTTGTGTGACCTTTGAGCATGGAAACCATGTACTTCCTCAACTAGTAATTCTCAGAGTTAATTTTTCTCCATATTTACAATTGCCATACAAAACAAAAGTTTTACACCAATTAAAAATCAGTTTGTAGGCCTAGCTGAATAAAAACACAACAGAAAACTGATAAAAAGTGAAAATGGAAAGGGTCTGCTTTGAATAGTTACCCGACAAAGAATATTCTAAAAACAACCTTGAATTGCTGGCAGCCAGGGTTAAATTGAGAATTCACCCCCTGGCAGTCAGTGAGTTAACATAAAGAGGACAATAAAATACTGTAAAAGAAATGAGAGGTCAGTGACGCTCCCTTTGTCCTGGATTCCAAAAACTTTTGGAAAAAGGGCACCTAATGCTCTTGTTTATGAAACGTAGCTCCTTCGTACATCATGGTCGCCTTCCAGGCAAAGTTTGGGGTTGAGATCTCGTAGTTTGGCAAGATTTCTCAAGGATGAACATCCAAATACATGAATTAGCTTCAGTCTGCAAGAAAAAAATAACAAATAAATGGGGATTAAAAAAGAAACATTTCAACTTCATCAAAGAGGGAATTAAAAAACAAAAACATTTAAGGCACATTTCAACTACATCAATTTCCTACTTCACCAAAGGGGGAACCTTTAAAACAACAGAAGGACAAATTTTATACTCTTCAAAATAAAGAAATACATAACATCATCACGCGGACAAACAGAGAGGGAGTTGTACACAGGTCAAGAGAACACCTCACACATACTGCTGAATAAAAAAAAAATCAAGTCTCGCAATTCATGATTACAAGAACCACGGGTCTAGATTATGCACTTCTTTTTTATATATTTTTTTTTAAGAATACAGTTTTTAGTTTTAGAAAAAGTTTTACGACAGTTGCAATACAAATAGGTTATATAAACACAGAAAATTAGAGGCGTTATAAGAGAGTAATATACAAAGAAAAGAAAGAGGAGCGATAAAGACAATAAATGTTTGATAGGAAATAAGGAGCAAACCACACCAGAGCTCCTGCCAATCACCAACAAGGAGAAATTTTAAAGCATGAATATTTTATAAGCCTGTGCACGTTTAGGCTTGTTCTTATGTTAAAACGGCCTTGTTGTTTCGAAGGCCTGTCTGACTAAAATACAGGCTTGATCATACTAGCATCTGCAGTCTTGTGGACAGGCTACTGGACTCATAAATGGAAGGTTGCGGGTTCAGGGATTCGAAGCTCAGGCCCGATGTTATGTCCTGAGGAAAGGCGCTTTTCAAAAATGTTTTTCCCTCACTTCACCCAAATTCAAATGGACCACAGACAGCCACAGATATTGTCAGTACATTAGTGTCTTAGCACTTGTAAAATGACAGCTTGCACTGCATGTTTCCCAGGAAGCCGAGATTGCTTCATAACACTATCAGGTCTGCTGGGTTAATAATCCATATTGTAAAGTGCATAGAGCTTGCTGTTGATAGTAAATTTGTGCCATACAAAAATTTCTATTATTATTATAGTTATTAATATTTATATAAATATTATTGTAATTATTATTATTTCTATTACTATCATTATGATCATACCTGGGGCACTGTTTAATAAGGCTGGTCAAGCTTGCCTCTGTGACCGAGCTCAGGAAGCTCAGCTTCACTGTCTCCAGCCATCGACTGCAGCTGTTGCTGGCCAGTTGGTACATACTGTCGACAACACACAGAGAGACGTTTGCATTGAAATAAACATTGCAGACACGGACACAATTATCACTATACTGTTCTTAGTGACAGAAAGATATCTTGTTAAAAAAATAAAATTTAAAAATTAACAATAATGAAAATAGCAACAACAACAATAATACCAGTATTACCTGTATAATAACATAGCAACAACAACAACAACAGCAATAATAATAATAATAATACTAATAATAATAATAATAATTATAATAATAATTATTATTATTATCGTTATAATCATTATAATCATTGTCATTAATAATAATAATAACTATAATAAATATTATTATTATCATTATTGTTCTAATGAAACAAAACAATACAAAATAACTGTAAATATAAAGATAATCATGATAAGAGCGCCATGACTAGCTATCCAGCACACATGCATCAAGAGAAAGAGTCACACTCATAAGATAAATACCCAAGTCATTTTTAGCCGTTTTGAGAAAACGAGAAAAAGAACTGTTTCTTTCCAACAACTGATTCCACAAAATGCTTGAAATTTGGTACACTCATATCGGAGAAACAGGCATTTTCTCAATGTGATTTTAACGATGATAGGTATTGGAGTAATATATTGCTCAGGAGCTTAGGCAGAGGGGCATGGTGGCATCAGGAGATCAGGACTCAAACCAAAGGGTTAATCATTTGTGTCACAACGTGGTGGAATCAGGCTCTTGTCAGTTTTTAGGATATAAAGTTATTAATATCAAATGAAAGCGTGTTCATTTGTTTTGCATTTGACGAAAAAAATACCAATCTACAGACCAACATAAGGTAAGGACCACCTTGACAGACAGCCCTGTTTTTTTTTTAATAAAAAAAAAAAGCTCTGAAAGTGTTAATGGGTTACCAGTGCGCACAGCAAAGCTTCCTAAAGGGGCAAAACCACATGCAGCACAGAAATCCTCGGGGAATTTTAGCCAAACTTGCTGTGCCACATCATGGACATCCCCTCAGTTAAAATTTCCGGTGCACATCATGAACGCATGTATGGTCTCGAACTGTGCTCACTTTGGTTGCCATATAAGCCGTCGTTTGCACAAAATCCAGTATCGTCCCAACATGCCACAAAGAAGAAAGCTGAGAGATTTTGATCGTGCCAGAGTTATGGCATGGCTGCAGGATGAAGTAGGAGCCCGAGAAGTTACCAGAAGGCTTGCAGTGTCACACTCTGTCATTGTCAGCCTGAGGCAGCGTCATCAAGCCACTGGATCAGTCCAAGAATGCCAACGTGACAGTCGACCCAAGAAGATCACTCAGAGTGTTTTCAAGTGGTCCTTAACTTATGTTGAAGTCTGTATCTTGAATAGAAGTCCGAGATATTTGCGATTGAAGGTGGTACGGTGACAAATGGTGGCCACAGTTTAGTGACTTTCAATTTATCTTGAGCGTGCCTGGAAACTGAAAATGTACATTTTTTTGTCTTATATGAACGTTTTTTGGTAACCTCCAAACAGAAATACATTTCTAAATGGACATTAAAGGTGTTAAGGTGAAAAAAAGAAAATTAAAAAAAAAATTCCCAGTGCCTAAAAAGATGCCGTTTTCTTTGATTTTATTGTTTTGACGAGTGCCTGATTACACCACGCTGCCTCACATTTGACATTTAGAATTTGGGAAGAAAGAAAAGAAAATACTCCCCCCCCTCCCACAACAGATGAACGTCAAATCACCTGCTGCCAGTGCAGCGAGTGGAGCCAATGTCCAAAGTGGTCAAGCGGTCACAGTTTTTAGCCAGGGTAACGATTCCCTGGTCGCTGATGTTGTCACAGCCACACACATCCAGACACCTGAAACACAATGATGCCAAACACAGTTAATATGTTAACAAGGAACTATTGTCTCATTTCCCATTATCCAAGACACTATCCAAAATGTTATCCTTGCCAAACACAAATATAAACTACACTTTGTAGGGTCTTTTTGTTTGTTTTATTTTTAGTAAGCCTTTTTTATGGCATTCGCAACACAAGTCACATAGGTGACGAAGATTAGAGTAACAAACACAAAAAAGAAGGAGGGATAAGGACGGTAGATGTTTGATGGGAAAGAATGAGCAAACCACACAGGAGCACCTGCCAATCACCCATGAGGTGTTTTTGTTGTGAAAAAGTTGGATGCTCCACTAAACAAAGGACGTCTCTGAGATAAACTTTCAAACTCCTTATCAGTTGACTGGTGAAGAAGAGTAATCATGCTAAAGCTTGCTGATGATGCAGAAATATCAAATTAAACACAATTCAGGTAATTCTGAAGATGTATATTTCATGTTAAACTAACAAAATCATTGGGTTTTTTTCATTGAAGAAAGATGTAATTAACATCACCTTTTCGAAAAGATTCTTTTTTTAGTACAAGGAGAAAAAGAGGATTTCCATCTCCCAAAAGGCTCCAAACTTGTTAAAAGAGCAGTATAGGGCAAAAGAACCCTTGCCTACACTTACATGAGGGTATTCTTGAGGTAGGTGGCAATTTCAGTCACAGCAATATCAGAAATCTGCTGACAGTTTGCCAGAACCAGGGTGTGGATGCGGGGGCAGTTTCGGACGACCTTACGAATACAGTCATTCCGAAGCTGAAATAAGGAACAGTTTGATGAAAACAGAAGTGCATCAACATTATTATAAATGATAGGAAAAGAGTGAAAAAGACAGACATAATTAACAAAGGAATAGTACACACCTAGCAGACACGAACAGAGGGAATACATTTTTAGGTCCGCAGATTTTTCTCATTCATGTAATTTCTTTGTCTCGTTTCTGAAATGCAAACAGTGAACTTCGCACATAACAAAAAGATATCCTCATACCCCTGATTTCACTATGTGAGTGCTAAACAGTAGTAACTCCTTATCACCAGCAAGCCACACGCGCAGTCCACTCTAAATTCAAACATTTTAAAATTATCTGTGAGGTGATTGGGTTTTACCTTTGACAAATATTTTATGTTCCCCGCCTTGAAATTATTCAGGAGGTCGCTGCTTTGGTTAGATAGAGGTGTTACGGCTCTAGCAACTCTTACTCTTAAGTGTCCAAGAAGGGTTGCTAGAGAGCAACAAACATAAAAAAGGTGGGTAGCAAAGGACGACAGTAAATGGTAATAGAAATAGCAAATCCCACCAGCAAGCTCACAAACTGTCGGTGGTTGATGCTTCGATCCTGCACTTCAATTTCAATCATTACAAAACTTTAGGTTTCTATTCACTTCGAAAAGCGAAAATACAATATAATCCAGCAGATACAAAAACACCAAGAAAGCTCTTTTCAACTTGGAGCCAATATCACACTAAAAAAAAATTAACCGAGAAACTTATTTTGTTGTTCTCATTTCTACTTACGTTCTTACATCCCCTCAAGTCCAGCTCTTCAATGCGGGCTAGATGAGTGGACAATGTGATCATCATGGAATCAGTCAGCTGCAGAATGAAAAAAGAAGGTGAAGATTTTCTTTTGTTAGTTTGAGTATAAAGAGAGGCAATTTGACACAATGGTCACCTGGTGCTGGGAAAAAGTAAAACAGAGATACAGAAACAACAGAGGGAAAGTAAAGAAGCAGAACCTACCAGTGGTGACCTCCAAGCATCCATAAACATTAAGTAAATAGCCCCCACAGCACACACAGATAAATTTATATCACTTTCCAAATTGTCTTGGGCTTGATTTTTTTACGGAAGGTGCTTAAACAAATGTCATAATCATTGTCAGAATCGCTTTCATAGTCTTTTACAATATGGTTTTCTTATTTAGAAAATCTGGGTGCTTTTTTCATTGTATGCTGTGAAATTTATATTTTAATATAGAAATGGTGCCTCACTTCACCCACATGGGAGTGGGTTCCCCGACTATAGATAGCAAAAGGTCTTCAAAACTCGTTTGTGTTGAAGCACTTACTCAGCTGCTTGCACTGTCTGCTTCCCACAAAGCCAAGAATGTTAAAGTTTTCTAGGGTTTGCTGGGGTAATAATATAGGGAAGAGCACATAGAGCTTGCTGCAGAGCATGGATATGTGCTTTACAAATGCCATTATGATTATCATTATCATTACTATTGTTATTATTATAACAGTCGACCCTGCAATGACGGCCACCTCTATAAGACGGCCACCTGTACAAACGGCCATTTTCAATGTCCTCCCTTGCATTTTTTCGATATAATTTCAGTGTGTAAAATGGGCACCTGTTCAACGCGGTCGCGGTCGCAGCCACAGCCACCATATGTTAACGCAAAATCCCTATTATACCAAACAATAACACTTGTCTTAGACTGCCACCTTAGAGACTCCATTACGTTTTGTCTTAAATTATGCATTGGCCCTTAGTGTCATGGGTGAGCTGTCATAATCCAATCAACTGTCGTTGTTGCTAGGTAGTCCCCTCCAACCGATCATGTTGCAATGACCCCTCCCACTGTTGACCAATAGGTAACAAATTTTCAGCTACTAGTGAGGTAAGCATGTGATCCCTCATAACCCATAAACCCCTCCCAGAACTCATACACAAATTGTAATTGAGATGAACGGTCACTGTTTACCTAGTCTGTAACAAAGTAACAATCTACGTCAACATGAACTGGCGACAGAAAATTCGCTCGTTCTCCGAGAGGTGGCACTCGTCTGGCACATTTCGTTCTATTGTCACCCTTGCACAAAATTGGCAACAATATATAAAAGCAAACAAAAAACAAACCAACAACAACAAGAACGCGGTTACCTTGGGTTGGGACCTCAGATGGGAATAGTTTGTTTTCTTCATCTTGATAAGTCCTGCCTAAGACGGCCACTTGTCTTATATATGGCCACTTTTCCCCTTGACAATGGGTGGCCGTCTTACACAGGTTCGAATGTATCATTATCTTTATTATTATTATTATTATTGTTATTATTATTATTATTATTATTATTACCCACCTTGTTACAGCTCCCCAGACAAAGTCTCTTGAGAGCGGTGCAGTGTTCTCCTATGCTGCGCATTGCCGACGCCGTCAGGGAAAAACAGGCATACAGCTCCAGGGTGTGAAGGCTGGGTGGTGAAACAGGCAAAATGATTGAATTAGTTTTAGTAAAAGTTTTACCACACTTGCAACACAATTCGGTTATATAAGTGCCAAAAATTAGTAGTGTTACAAGAGAGTAACATACACAAAAAAGGAGGAGAGATAAGGACGATAGATGTTTGATACGAAAGCAGAAGCAAACCAAACCAGAGCACTCACCAATCACCCACGGAAATAACTGAGATTTGGTTTCGCTTTAAAAAGAGTTTTATGGTGCTTGCAACACAAATAGGTAATATAAGTGCCAAAAATTAGAGGTGTTACTAGAGGGTAACAAACACAGAAAAGGAGGAGAGATAATGACGATAGACGCTTGATAGGGAAGATGGAACAAACACACCAGAGCACCCGCCAACCACCCACGGAAATGACTGAGGTTAAGTTTAGCTTTAACGTACTTGCAACACAAATAGGTAACACAAGTGCTGAAGATAAGAGGTGCTACTAGAGAGTAACAAGCACGGAAAAGGAGGAGAGACAAGGTTGATAGATGCTGGATAGGAAAGACGGAGCAAACCACACTAGAGTACCCGCAAACCACCATGCCTACAATTCTAACTGAAAAAAACCTCTATGGATAACTACAACTTTAGTTCATTTTAACAGGAGAGACAAGGATTCCTTTGCCAGAGGATCTACTTGCTCACTTCCTTGGATGCCAACATGACTGGGTAGCCATGCAAACACAATGCACTTTCCCTGTTAAGTTGAAGAGTGAATCCTGAACTGTAATTTGACTTATTTCAGAGTTTAAAAGAGTGAAACTGGTGAGTGAAGTGAGGCAAGAACAAGTAATCGGGCAGAATGAGAAGAGATAATTTGGGAGAACTTTCTACAGAAATCAATGCCAAGTCAATGGAAGTGGCTGCAGGATGCAGCCTCCTCAGTCAGTGTCCTCACCAAGCTGCCACTCACATACGTATGTGTGTGTTTGGAGAAAGGTCACAGTTGTAGAAAATTTTAGACGTTAAAATAAGGGCATATTCTTGAAGCAAATTCAAAGCTGAACACACTGATTTGCAACATTTTTCAAATATTTTGTGTATATTTCAAGATATGCCACATTTTGTAACATACGGTGTAAAAACAAAGTTTGGAGAAAGCCCAGTATCTTGTACATTAATTCTATTATTTTTTTTATAGTAAAGTGTTTTACTCCGCTCGCAACTGCATAAGGTCGTATGAGAGCGCGGGACACACCTAATACTTTTACTTGGTAGGAAATATTGAATTTTGCCCAAGTGGCGGCCGAAGCCTACTCTTATCGATTTTAGACCACCAGGGGATCTTTAACAAGCGCAACTTGCACACGAGCTCTCCGAGATTTTTCGCCCTTGTCCGAGAAGGCTAGGTGTAGATCTTTCCCACCAGAAGATCAGGGGTGTGGCAGAAAGACAGCTGTAAGAAGGAGTCAAGGAGTAGCAGTAGAAAGGCTGCAGAAAGAGTCAGGAGCCCAGAGGAGGGGGCAAAGGAGGTGAGGGGGTGGGGGCAGAAAGTGGAAATGAAAGCAGACAACAGAACATTGTTAGAGAGCAGGAAAGGAGGTGAAAGGAGACAATTTTAGAGAAGAAAATTTTTTTCGGTCGCTACCCGGATTCGAACCCGGAACCTTTGAATGAGAGGCCAACACTTTAACCTCTAGGCCACGAGAGCCCCACACTAATTTTAACCGTTGATGAAGTACAACACGTTGCAAAAATAACATAAAAAGATTTAGACTTAAAATACTATAAAATAATTTCAACATGTTTATAAGAAATGGTTAAACGTGCATTTTAGGATGGAACTAAATTTTTTACCATGTACAATTTTTTGGGCCTTTTCTGGCTCAAAAATTGCTTTGCCGACAACTGGGACCTATCTCCAGGCACCCACGCACACATATATAGACAACCAAGACACAGGCATATACAAGCATCCATGCACAAAGACATACAGACATACTCAAACACAGTAATCCACACACAAAGATATTCAGACATACAGACAATGGCACACACAAGCATCAACACACAAACAAGAGTAGACAACCAATACACAGGCACACACAAGCATCCACACAAAAAAACATACAGACACACACTAAAGCAGACACAAACATATACAGGCACACATACACACAAATATACATACCTCTTGCCATGTTTTGTGAGCAAAGAGTTCAAGGCGGAATCAGACATTGATTGGAAGCCATTGACACACACACTCTCCAGCCTGATGAATAAAAAAAAGACAGTACAGTGGACTTTGGAGGTCCTGCCTCATAATAATAATAATAGATAGCATTTGTATAGCGCAAATCCCCACTCAACAAAAGGCTTTATGCGCTTCACAATCTATACTATTACCCCAGCAGACCTGAGAGCGTTCTGACACTACCTCAACTTCCTGGGAAGCATACAGAGAAAGCGGCCATTTATAGGCGCTAAAACGCTAACATTTTGCCCCCATGGGAGGCCAACTGGTGGCTGTAAGAACCTGTCCCTTTCCCCCACAGGACGCCCATCGATGACAGCGTGATAGAGTAAAAAAAGAAACATTGTAGTAATGATCCCCTTTTAGACATGTGCACTTGTTAAAGTTTTAATTTCCTTTCTGAATGGTTCGTGTGGCCTTTGAGGGCGAATATAAGTTTTTTTTTACAACAATTGGATGAAATTTTTTTGAAAAATGTCTAGTAGATCTGGCATGAGTGTTGCTTTACACTGACACCGTAATGAGAATTCGGGTGATGAATATGCTACACCTAATGTTTTCAGTTTTGATTCTAATTTCTTGTTTGCTAAACAAGCAATCATCACGTTCAATTTTCTCAATATGCTGATAATTTCATGTTTGGGGTGTTTTTTGACGAGATACAGGTATGGTACTGATGTACCCCATTTGCATCCTGGTACGTTCAGACAAAGGTTATGCGTTCTGCGGGCTGGGAGGGTGAAAGTGTTCAATAACTTTACAGCGTGGCAAGGGGCGTTAGACCCATACAGTTTCGCATATATAAAAAATTTTTTTCCCTTTCATTGTCTCACACAAGGCACAGCGGGATATGACGTTTTCATCACTACTCTGTTTCTGGTTTGCTCCAGATTTAATTGTGACAAACAAATGAAAATGAGGGAAAGTTGAAGACCAAACGCCTAGCCCATTGACAGGTAGGAAACATGTCCATCATTGTTGAGAGTACGCCAGACCAATTGCTGGTGTGTAAATTTGACACACTAAATACAGTTCTTAGTTATTTCTACTTCTCAACTTCTTTACAAACAATGAGAACTGTAAACCCATAACATGAGTGTCACAATCAAAATATTTAAAAAGTCACCCCCCCCCCCCAAACGACAAATCCTTCGGCATCCACACCCTACAGCACTAACCTCTCAGCACATTCTGACATGGCGGTGAAGGACTCTTCATTGACATTGCAGAAACTGGCATCGAGATGTGTCAGCCGCTGGCAGTAGTTGGCAGCAACATTCAGGACAGTAGCACCAACCAAACAGCCCTGGCTGCACCCACATATGTTCAGTTCCTATGAGGAGGAATAAAAAGTACTGTTTATTCTCCTGTTTGAGGTAAGGTAACACTCATAGCAGATATGATGACAGTCAGTAATTTGTTTAAGTAAGACTTTTATGGCACTTGCAACACAATAAGGATCATATAAGAGAAGAAGATTAGAGATGTTTTAAGAGCTTAAAAAAAAAAAGGAGAGAGAGACAAGGATGATAGATAAAAAAAAATAGCAGGAGCAAACCACACCAGGGCAGCTGGAAACCACCCACAAAATCAGTAAGAGCTCAAAAACATTCAGTTTGCATCTAGCAGAACAAAAGAAAATAATTTGATAGCAGAGTCGTTAGAGTAACAGAGAACCACAAGATTAAAACAACGGCCTCCAAGTACGGTAATCTGTTCACCTGCCGTTGCAGTGTCATAGCTACACAAATTAGTACAATGATTGTCATTTGACGGAATCATAAAGGAGGTCCACAAGATCTCTGGATATGATTTTAACAGAACTGATGAAATATATATCAGATCATAAAAGTATAAAAATATCTTTATAAACGACCCATTACACTCCCTTTCCACACAATTCGTAAGATCAAGCAGCCTCAGGTATGCGCAAATAAGAACAAACAAAGACACAGAAGAAGTTTCTTACCATCTGGAATAAAGCTGTTATCCAAATAATAAATGTGTATTGCTGTTCATTTTTTTATTACATAATATAATTTGAACTGTGATAAATTCCTGCAAGTGTTTCAAAGATGCATTTGATGTGATATGTGTATTATTGTCAGCTTATTTTTCTCTTCATATTTAATCTTTAAGAAAGTCATATATCATTTAAATTCTAAGTATATCTACATGTGGTTTTTACCCTTCCAGTATAGCCAAGAAAAATTTCCCACTGCGACAATAAAGTATTGTCTTATCTTTTCTTATATTTCAGAGTACACTATACTATGATGTCGACCAAACGTTTTCAAATAAAAGTTGGTAAAAGCGTCCTTGAGCCCTCCATTTGGACCTTGTTTGACCTCTTGACATCATGCGCAAAAGATGTTTTCAACTTCATTCAAGGAGGAAGAGGGGGGTTTGAAGTAAATTCACCTTTCAGTTTTTCTAAAGAGTAAGACTTGAAAGAGGCATCCTTCAATTGGTATCATGATGGGCTACTTAGTAGACGGCCCTGGTTCAAATTTTCAAAGGGGCATTCTGAACTCGGATTGTGTTGGGGATTTCTAAGACTCACCATCCACTTCGCTAGGTCATGTCAGAGATTGACCTTAAACTGGGAGGTCACACCTCATAAACAACCTTACAGTATTGTAAGGGGTGTCAAAACAATAGAAGGATTAATAAGAAGATTTTGCTTTGTTTTGATAAGAGTTATACCGCACTTGCAACGCAATTCAGTCACATCAAAGTTTGGCGGTGTTACAAAAGAGTAACAAACACAAATTCGAAGGTGAGATAACGACGACATATGGTTTTTTTGGTTTATTTATAGTAGAGGGTTTTACGGCGCTCGCAACTGCATAAGGTCTCTAGCTTCAACAGCACAAGGTCTGCTTCGACTATCAAGGCACCCCAGAAATAGCAGGTCACAAGAGTGTGACAAACATACAAAAGAAGTGAATCGACTATCAAGGCAAGAAAGAAAAAGCAGCAGTTCCCTGTTGTAGATCAGGCATACAAAAGAAGTAGAGGAAAATGACAATAAATGAATCAGCCCATTTACAATTCTACTGTGCTTGAACAAGAAGTGTCCCCCCCTTTGGGAATAGCCTAAAGACACTAGAGTCAGTGGCACTGCCGCGGGGGGTAGACGACAGATGTTTGATACGAAAGAAGGAGCAAACCATACCAGAGCACTCGCCAACCACCCAGTCAATAAGAAACATCCTCAAACATCAAAAGCAAAAGCAAAGCAAAAAAAAAGGTTAAAAAAAAAACATGAAAAAAAAGTGGAAAAAAAAACCCCTCCAAAAGAAGCCAAAACCAACCCAGCTCAGTCCAGCCCAGACAGAAGTGAGCACTCACCTTGAGCTTGCTGCGCGTGTTCTGGAAAAAGTTGTGCAGCCCGTTCAAGGTCACCTGACCTCCCTGGCACTTGACCATGGCAACAGAGACCGGGTTGTGGCGTGCAATGGTCGTCAGAGAGCTGTCAGTCAGGGGGAATCGCTGCTTCACCGTGATGTATCGCCCTGAGGAGGTGGGGAGGTTGCAGCAGGTCAGAAATGAGTTGAAGTTTAAGTGACAACGACTATTCAATCGAACTGACTCAAACGACCACCTGTCCAAGACAATCACCTGTATAAACAACCATCCCCCATCTCCCCACTTGCCCTTTTTTCTACATTATAATGACACTGTGACCCCCCAGGGCTATGCTGCTGACCGAAGTGTCTTTAGGCCATTCCCAAAGGGGGGACATTAATATGTTCTTATGCTCCGTAGAATTGGAAATGGGCTGATTCATCAATGTAATGCATCATAACTGTGCCTGAACTGCATATGGGGAACTGCTACTTTTTCTTTCCTAATCCTTACTATCGTCATTTTTCCTCTACTTCTTTTGTATGTTTGTCGCTCTCCAATGACCCACTATTTTCGGGGTGCCTTGATAGTTGAAGCAGACTTTGTGCTGTTAAAGCTAGAGAGGTGAGCAGAGTAAGCCTGATTCCCTGTATGGACTCCTCTGTTGACAACCACCCCTTGGCACTCATATGACCTAATGCAATTGCGAGTGCCATAAAAACTACTAAAACTAAAAAGACACTGTCCAAAAGGACCACCTGATTATGATGACTACTTTTCTCCTCTTGGACAGGTTTGCCTGTGTTTTTGCCAGGACTGAGTGAAAGAAAAACAAGTAGACACTCATGTAGTGATACGAACATACACAATAAACAGAAATTGGTTGTTGATAATCATAACAAAATTTGACCAAACCTCAGCAAAATCTTCCTATTTTTAAGTACACTATGTTTTTGATCATTCATTTCTACTCCTTTTAATGTATATTTATATACAAAAGTTAAATAGAAGCGGAATTATAGGGAAGTTTACGATGTAGAAGAACTGACAAATCTGACTGCGAACAAAGGTAGAATAGCCTTCTGTCTACTGAGAGTTTAAAGAATAGCAGACAAATTTTCTAAAAATACAAAACATTTTCAAAACGCGACTCACACAGACTTTCGTCGTTGGCCAGACAGTAGAAGTAGGAGGAAGCCATCATGAGACGACATAAGTCCCCCTGGGACAGGTACTTGAAGACGTAGTAGAACCAGATCTCATTCGGGAGACATTGCCACATTGACAGCTCACCTTTGTCGATGCGCGGGGTCTGGGGACCGTAGAGAGACTAAATTAGAACATTTGGCAAAAGAATACATTTCAGTGAGGAAAAAAGTAAGCTGGCCTTAGTCTGAACCTTCTGTCAACTATGCTTTCCAAGACATTGAGGGCATGTTTTCTTTGGGTTTTAAAAAGTTTTAGTAAGGTTTTACAGCGCTTGCAACCGCATAAGGTCATTTGAATGCCAAGGAGTGGATGTCAACAGAGAAGTCCAAACGGGGAAACAGGCTTACTCTGCTCACCTCTCTAGTCTCAACAGTACAAAGTCTGCTTCAACTATCAAGGAAAGAGCAGAAAGTATGAGCATGACAATAAATAAATCAGCCCATTTACAATTCTACTATGCCTAAGAACATGTTAATATCCCCCTTTCGGGAATGGCTCAAAGACACTTCAGTCAGTAGAACAGCCCTAGGGAGGGGGAATGTTTTTTTTTTTTGTTGGTCCCCCCCCCCCCCCAAAGTCAACAAAAGAAAACAAAAACCATTGGACGGAAAAAAGAAAATCAACTACAATTGAAAGAAAAATTCAAAACTAAAACAAACACACAAACAAACAAAACACAGGCAAAAACCCCCAACTCAGTTACAAATCCTACGAACGTTTAAGACACTGACAACAATTTGATGTTCAGAGAAGTCTTTACAAATTCCTAAGAAAAATGTTTTGAAGGAGGAGTAAAAATGTATCTGTAGACATCCAACAGTCAGGTTCAATGGCTTTTTGAGACATAATGAAACCATAGACCATAGTAATGGCATGATGCTATATGAGGCTATGGTCCTTATGAACACTGAGAGGTGGGGTGACACTTTCAATTCTAATATATACATCTTTGACTGGACTGAGCCAAATAGGTGGAGACCCTTGAAATATCCCCAAACAAATGAAGCTAAAAAAAACCCTATGGGTAGTTGGTGTGTGCTCTTTCATTCATGTCTGACATCTATTGTCCTTGTGTCTCCTAGTTGGTGTGTGCTCTTTCATTCATGTCTGACATCTATTGTCCTTATCTCTCCTCTCTATTTTGCATATGTGACACTCCAGTAACACCTCTAATCTTTATATGTGACACTCTAGTAACACCTCTAATCTTTTTAAGTAACTCTAGTAACACCTCTAATCTTTTAAAGTAACACTCAAGTAACACCTCTAATCTTTATATGTTACGCTCTAGTAATACCTCTCATCTTTATGTTACGCTCTAGTAATACCTCTAATCTTTACATGTTACACTCTAGTAACGCCTCTAATCTTTACATGTTACTCTCATCTAACACCTCTAATCTATGGCCCAATTGTGTCGCAAGTGCCGAAAAACTCTTTCAAAAACCAAAGAACACCGTGATGGGATACTTGAATCATGTTAATCGTCACCATCAAATGAGCTATCAGAACACCCATCTCGACAGGTGGAAAGCCAATTTGAGACAGAAAGACTGTTGGAAATACAACTTTGACAAGTTAATGCTTTAAGCTCTCCTCTTGGAAATTTACATATTGTTAGGTTCATTTTACTTCAATCCTTTACTTTTTTTTTCTTTTTGAAAGAGAAAACAACACATCCATATGACTCATACAACAGAGGAAGCCTGTTGCATTTTTGAGGCATTGTCGTAAAATCAGGGGCTTGTCAAAATAATGAAATCAAGGAAACCCTTACATTTCTAGCTGTTGGTCATTTCTTAATTTTCTTTTTTCTTAGCTCAACACCTTTTATGTCTATCTAAGAACTGTGTGGATTTTACTGAAAAAAAATTGATCAAGGGCAAAAAAAAATAATGTTCGCAGTTTTCAAGGACACTCAAGCTTTGAAAGTCACCAAACTTTGGCGGCCATTCTCTCCCTAATGTTACCTGTGAAACCAGGCGAACCCACCACCTTTAATCACAATTATTATCTCGACTTCTACTCAAGATAGATAGGTATTTTTTTCGCCAAAAGCAAGACAAACGAACAAGATTTAAATTAATACTAATCACGCCATAAGCCCACAAATTGACGAGCGCCTAATTCCACCGCATAATGACAATATATTAACAGATTTATAAATCTACTACACATTTTTCTTTGAAGAGAAACAAATACATCCAAATGACTCATAAAACAAGCATAGATGATTGTCAAGCAAATGTTCCTTTTGGTTGCTTAGTGTATACGTCTCCGTCCGCCATATGCCATTTATTTAAATACTGACAAATGACAGAGTCTTCCAAAGAGCAGTCCTCCAAAGAGCAGTCCATTTTAGTTTTCATATAAACCTCATACCATCCGACATGCGAAAACATTCAACCAGACAGCACACCTCACCCACCATTTCCTGAAACTTGTCATAAGCTGCTTTGGCAACAGCATGCAGCTTTTCTGTAAAAGAAAAATCCACACATATCTGAGCTCAGTAAAAAAAAGACAAAAACAACAAACAAACAAAAATGTTGGATCCCCAACTAGATGAGAACTTTATATCCAAAAAGAACTGAAATATATTATGATTAAAAGTGTACTTGTATGTGAAAGCATGTGTTGTGTATGCAAGTCAGGTGTATCTATGAGCCAAATAGGTCAACAACGATGTGACAAAAGAGTAACCACTTAGCTGCCAACTTTTTAAAACAAAAAAAACACCAGACTCTATCCCCACCGAGGGTCAAGACAAGTGGGCATTGGCCTAGCAATCCCTGTTCAAACCCTTTACACACACTGTTCTGCATTCAATAAATTCAAGCTATTCAAAGAAGACCTCTAGCAAAAGATCTCTCCGAATTACTTTGTTCTCATTAATCACAAATCCGTGTTTGAAAGTACATAATTTTCCGTCTGCATAAGGAAGTCTGAGAGGGAGCAATACTAAAAATGGGAGCATACTTATTTTCAGACACAAAAACGGTCTTCTGTACCCAGACCCTCAAAAACGTACCAAATACGTTTTGTACATACTGGTTGGCAGCTAGGTAAACCAAAACAAAAAACAGGCAGAAAATACTGCTACCAGTGAGGATTAAAAAAGGGTAAAATAGAACCCATGTGCCGTTTATTGTTTCCCCCTCAGGGGAGAACATCAGAGCTGCGCACTTTCGAGAAAAAACTATCAAAGTCGCGACCTATCAGAGTCGCGCACTTTTTTACGATATCGATACAATTAGATTGCTGGTTACCAAAACCAGTACCATCCAACAATTGAACTACCCTCAGCGTTTTTTTTACTGAACTATGGACCAGATATCAGTTAGATTTTGTATTGAGTGAATAAGCTTTTCTGGTATAAAAACATATCTACAGGACTGGGGCAATCTTTAAAATGTCATGCAGCATTTTCTTGCTCATTCAGGATAAAAATTGAAGTTATGAGACTTGTCCGTCTGTGAACATTTGCTCGGTACACATTCTCCCCTCTTTCTTGGCGGTGCCTTTCTGTTTGGTCTGTGTTTTTTAGTTTCAGAAAGTCGCTTAACATAGAGCAGAAAGACGAATACATTTGGATGGGGGCTGTACAGAGTAATTTTGTCAAGGGGTCCGTAACCACTGTATAAAATCGGCAATATAATGGTATCGATATCGTCAAAAAGTGCGCAGCTCCGACAGTTTCCTCCTCTCGGGTGATGACAAAAGTAGTGACACAGTCGGGCGTGGACAACTCAAACACTTTGGGGTTTGACAAATGCGTTCGACACATCTAAAAATTCAGGCAAACTGATAATGAAAAATTAAACAGTTATCAGTCAAGGAAGGGCAAATAGTACAAGCAATCATTGATTTTGAGTTTTCCATGTTCAGGTTATCTGTCCCCAACGGCACATCAACAGCTGGATGCAAGACAGACAAATTCCTACCTGATAATTACAAAGTGCTATCTGCTCAGTACTTAGTTTTAAGAAATTCGACATTAAAAACTTTGAGTTTCACAACATGTCAAGCTTTTCTGAACATAATTCTTCGAATATCTTGGTAATGACTCTGAACAATCTTACAATTTTTATAGAGTAGATAGAACATTTGGTATCTGACCTCATGGTCAAAGTAACTCAAAATGTCCAAAAATGTCAGATATACAACATTATAAATCAAAGCTAGCAAAATGCCATTCTGTATGTACGTTGGCATTTATCAAGCAATTAATACGCTGTTGCTGAAAAAAAACAAACTATTACAATCGAAATTGTCTAAGACAGCCACTCACTGTCGAGGGGAAAAGTGGCCATTTACAATTGGAGGCCATTTTATTCAGTGTCATTATAGTCTTTAAAAAAACGCATGGGTGAAAACGGGAAGTGGCCGTTTATACAGGTGACTGCAAGAGCAGGTTCGATTGCACACTTTAATTTGGAATTCCAGTAATAATTGATGGATATAGCGGAGAAAAATCAGGGGTTTTTTTTTCCTCCAGTAAAATTTGAAAACCAGAGTTATGACAGTGTCGCTGCTACCCTACAAAATGCCATTTTGTGCTTTGGCATGTATCACAGTTTTGCACCCAGCCATTAATACATTGTTTCTGACAAAATAAACCCACTTTGAATGTAAACAGTACCAGTGAATACAACTGAGTTACAATCAAAATACTGAGAGCGTATCTAGCTTAACACTATAAATGTTTATGATTACTCTTACTGTTCATTTATATTATGCATGTGATTGTGAGCCTGTTTATGAGTGCAAGCATATTATTGTATTATATTACGTTTATGTGCACAGATGTGAGTGGAAAAGAGATGATGTAAAAGAAAATGTGTGCATATGAGTGTGCACATGCAAGTACGTATGTATGTATGTGTGTGTGTGAGCGTACGTGTGTGAGCGTACGTGTGTTCGTGACACACACAAAAGCAATGTGCCAGGATCTGGACAATTAGGATGTATCATATCATATCCTCACCAGTTTGTTGCTCATCCGTCAACTCATTCAGCGGCAGACGATGAACCTCGGCACACATGACGCGAGGGGAGTCACCATCACTGCTCTTGTCCTGGGAGCTGGCCGTGACTGTCGAGGTCGCCGAGACCCCAGCCCCTGACCTTGCCCTTTGACCTGCATCGTTAGGATCACTGTTTCTGCAAGGACAAACAATCTTTGTTTTTAAGTTTGTTTTAGGTTGAAAAGAAGCACTTTGACACAGTAATGGTCATTTTGTGTAAGGAATGAGTAAGACAGAAAGACAGACAGACAGACAGACAGACAGACAGACAGACAGACAGACAGACAGACAGACAAACAGACAGACAGACAGACAGACAGACCAAAAAGAAGTAGGACCTAAAAGTGGAACCCTTCAAATGGACAGCCCTGTAAAAAAATTTCGCAAACATTTAGAAGCATCAACTCAGGATTGGGTTCACAAATAAAAAACCGAAATGCCTTCACGTACTTTGAGACAACACTGCAACCTTTTTAATACATCCAGCCATCAGAATAACTTTCTTCTCCCACAGAAACATTGTGCACGATGTCGTGGTGGCTTTGTCTGTCATATTTTTTAGAAAGATTTTCAAATCACTGGTTGAGCATGGGTCTCAACTCAGAATTTTAAAAAAGGAGGAACTTTCCTCGAGATCACGGCAGAAGACCATTTTTGTGAGACACCCATTATCATTATACTGTTTAACCCTAGAATGCTGAAATAAAAACCACCAATTTATCAGAGCTACGTTATTTCATACCAATTTGAAGGTTTGGAAGATAATTTTAAGTGAAAGAGTAACGGTAACGGAGTTTAAAGGAGGAAATGGCGGTAGCGGAAATCCGCTAAATAGCCGGAATATTGAGACCCATGAGACAGTGCTTGAGTGAAAGCGTCAAACTGGGATTTTACATCATTAATAATAACCCGAACAAAATACGAAGCTAGTGGATGACCCCACTTGTACCCTAACTGAGCATTGAGCTCCTGAACAGACTACTGGCATGAATTGGGGGGGGGGGGGGGAGGGGGGGGGCAGGCTGGGGTGGTGTTTACTTTCACTGAAGAATCTCCCTAAACTCCCCCACCCCTCCTTACAACAACTACTATACATATCACAGGGATCAAAACAAACAAAAATCAAACCCCCTTCGTGTTGAATCCACAGCCTTCATTGTAGCAAGTGTTTTGACGAAAGTCGTAAAAAACCTACAAAGATGACAGAAGCAAAATGTTTACAGTCACACATTACATTGAGCCAGATGAAAGAGTAGAAATATCAACAGCAGCTTTCTTACCTGTTTCTCGTCTCTGTACTAGTTGACTGCCTCGCACTCGCTGGCCGATTCTGTGAGTACCTGCTGGCTCCGGCTGCCGCCGTTGATGCATTGTGAGCTAGGTCTGGATTGGAGTGTGTCTGAGACATTCTTTGACTGGGGCGAACCGTGGCACTTGATGGACGCTGCTTTGGCTCGGGTTCTGGGCGGCGTCTAAGGAGGGATGGAAAGTAGTTATTAAACTCTACATCCTTTTCACATATTTATCTCTACCTCAGAATTACAAAGTTCTATCAGAAATTTTTGGCCGTCTTGAGTTACTAAGACCATGGGGTCAGGAACCAATTTATTGTTCCATCTGTTCTTCCAAAATCTTAAGATTATTCAGATTCGCTATCAAGACATTCAAATAAATGCATTAGAAACAGCTTGACACGTAGTGAAACTCAAAATCTTTGACGTCAAATTTCTCAAAATTAGGTACTGAGTTGATAGAAGTTTGTAATTCTGAGGTTGCGATAAGTAGTTGGGTGTTTGGGTGTCTGTTTGCAAAGATATTTTACCAGAGGTGCCAACTGGCTACAAACTAAAACCCATAACTTTTCGGACCCTCGAGGAAATGTGAAAAAATGCATGGATCATGTGGTCAAATACACAGATATTTCAATTATCAAAAATTGCAACATCAAGACAGAGAAAGTGAGAGAGAGGGAGGGAGGTGGGAGAGAGAGGGGGAGGGAGGGGGAGAGAGAGGGGAGGGAGGGGGGAGAGAGAGAGAGAGAGAGAGAGAGAGAGAGAGAGAGAGAGAGAGAGAGAGAGAGAGAGAGAGAGAGAGAGAGAGAGAGAGAGAGAGAGAGAGAGGGAGGGAGGGAAAGAGTGGGAGAGAGGGGGAGAGAGGGAGAGAGAGAGGGGGGAGGGAGGGAGGGAGGGAGGGAGGGAGGGAGGGAGAAAAAGAGAGAGAGAGAGAGAAAGAGGGAGAATGAGAGAGAGGGAGAAAGGGGAAAGAATAAGAGAAAAGTAAAAGAAAGAGTGAGAGAGGGGAGAAAGAGGAAAGAAAAAGAAAGATAAAAATAAAAGAAAGAATGAGACACACAAACACATAACAACAACAGGAAATAGAAAGAGAGAAAGAAAGAAATGACAATACAAGATAGAGGAAACAGTAAAAAGAAAAAAATAAGGATCCATACACATAAACCATACATACAGTCAAGACTGCTTTTAATAGCCACCTGCATTATAAGACAATCACCAGTACAAACAGCCACTTCCAATTTCCTCCATAAGTAAGTATGGCAAGAGCATGAGTACAGAATAGGAAGAGTTTATAACAAGTCAGCGCAATAACATCAAAATTTGTAGTTAGCTTTAGTAAGAGTTTTACGGCACTTGCAACACAATAAGGTCATATAAGTGCTGAAGATTAGAGGAGTTACAAGAGAGTAACAAACTCAAAAAAGAAGGAGAGATCAAAACGATTGACGTTTCATAGGAAAGAAGGAGCAAACCACACCAGAGCACCAGCCAGCCACCCACAAAATTTATTATATCGGAACAGACTAGGACAAAAGCATAAATGAATAGGTAGTAAGTAACACAGTGGCTTTAGGCCTTCCATTCAGATTTTGATGGCCACTGAGTCTAATCTAGATATTATAGGGGTTGCTCGTTACGGAAGTCCGCCCTAATAATAATAACAATGATAATGACAATGTCTAGCATGGAGCTACTATGGTCATTAATATTATTTTTTTCATGTTCCTGACAAAGCATGAAGAGGGAGAAATCTGACCAAGTCTCAACCTTTTAAAAAATTTTCTGTATACAATAATAATGACAATATGCGACATTTTTATTTATATAGAGCTCAACCCCCATTAAAGGACATAGGCTCTCAGCCCTTTACAAATACAACAGCAAAACATTAAAAGTACAATGTGTTCTGACTAAACTGAAAGTAACATGGAAAAAGATGGACCTATCAGCCACAAAGCAACAGACACCATTAGAGCACCTACCAACCACCCTTGAAAACATCCTACCTCTGAGGGTAGTTTGCAGGTACCCAGGTGCGGTTTGCTCCTTATTTCCTATCAAACTCAAACATCTATCCTCCTTATCTCTCCTCCTCCTTTCATTCGTATGGTTTGGTCGGTACTTTCTTGTAACATTTCTAATTTCCGGCACTGGAAGGATTTACGAAACAAGCGACCACCCCAACAAACACAATAACGAAGAGACCTAGACCTAACTGTAACCCTAATCCTAGCCCTACCCCAAACCATAACCTTAACCCACACTCTAACTATCTTTCTATTTCATAGTGGTGCTCTTTACGGAATTTCTCCCTCAGCACTTTCACCACCTTTTTGTGTAACTAGTGGCATAAAACTCGCTCTTTTTTAAAAAAGGGGGCAAAAATATGATCCTACCTCTGGTTGTACTCCGCGCTAGACGGCCGCTGTCTCACAGGGATGGCACTGGTTCCATTGTTACGACCTCCCGAAGCATTGGCAACCTTTGACACTTGACCTGTCCCGGCGGAGGACGGTCTTCCATTCGAGTGGGCTTGGGGAGATGGCATACTGAGGCTAGACCTGTTGAATTAAGTGTGGAGAGCAGTGAATGAAAAGTGAGGGGTGCTCATAAAATAAGTTAGTCAAACATGTGGTAACCCCCCACCCCCACCCTAATACATCCGCAGAGAAGAATATTTCTCCAGCGAAATAGAAGAATTTGAAGAATTGGGGTTTTTTTGGTAAGTTTTAAGGCGCTCGCAACTGCATAAGGTCATATGAGCGGGCGGGACACATTATACATTTTCAGTTGGTAGGAAATTTTGAATTTTGCCTGGGTGGCAGCCGAAGCCTACTCTTATCGATTTTAGACCAACAAGGCATCTTCAATGTGTGCAAGTTGCACACGAGACCTCCAAGATTTTTCTTGTCCGAGAAGGCTAGGTGTAGATCTTTCCTACCAGAAGAGGGGTTAGGCTGAAAGACAGCAGTAAGAAAGAGCCAAGGAGTAGCAGTAGAAAGGCAGCAGAAAGAGTCAGGAGCCCAAAGGAGGGGGTAAAGGAGGTGAGGGGGTGGGGGCAGAAAGTGGAGACGAAAGCAGACGAAAGAAAATTGCTAGAGAGCAGGAAAAGAGGTAAAAGGAGACAATTTTAGAGAAGAAAACGTTTCCGTCACTACCCGGATTCGAACCCAGGACCTTTGAATAAGAGGCGAACACCTTAACCTCTAGGCCACGAGAGCCCCCTTTGAAAAATAAAAGATTATGATGACTTGTGGCTTCTGCTGTGGCCGATGAGACAATTTCTGGCAGAGAAAAGTTAGCCACATTTTGAACATTAAAGGCTTCACTTCCACTTGAGGATGTGTACAGCTTGCTGGCTTCTCTCTTGATTTGAGCATTTCTTATTTACGCCTTCACACCGCAATCCCCCGATTGTCTGAGTTGTACAGTCCTTATTTACCAGGCTAAATGTAAATATAATATGCCTTGCCATACAACTACCGCCAGCGAACTGACCGTTATGTTACAGGTACACAGTGCACAGCATGCACTACTTGGCTAGTTAATAATCTTTCGCCCACGAGAGAGACATAGAGATAGAGAGAAGATTCTTTGCTCTGAATACAGGTAGATTCTACATGTAGGCCTACATGTATATCACCAACAAAAAGACACTTTTCAAACACAAATCGATTCTGATCGAACAGCAGAATCATGTTCCTTGACGTTGGGCAGTCGGGGCTATACAACAGGGCAACCCCGTTGAAACACCAGCCCCGCTGTACTGCTAACTTCATGCTCGTCCCGAGGATGGCAGTATAACGAGGTTTGACTTACTTGGCGCAATCCACGAAGGGAGATATTGACCAAAAATTGACACTGGGTTCAAATGTGTAGATTTTCAATAAAAAATTACTTAAAGTTTAAATGTCTTTGACCGTTTCACACTTACCAATTGAACATACTCCACCTAAAAATTTGACAGTATTTACATAGGGCTAAAATCTAAGAAGTAATTTCATTTTGTCAGCATGCTTCACAAACTGTTTTTTCTTTACAGGCTATCACAACTCCTACAAACATTACACACTGCAACAAAGTGCTTCACTGATTAATGTGTGAGCATGTTTGTGTGGTGTGTGTGTGCGTACGTTTGTGTGTGTGTGTGTGTGTGTGTGTGAGAGAGAGAGCGTGTGTGTGTCAGAGTCAGAGCGAGCATGTGTGTCAGAGCGAGCATGTGTGTGTGTGTGTGTGTGTGTGTGTGTGTGTGTGTGTGTGTGTGTGTGTGTGTGTGTATGTGTGTGTGTGTGTGTGTGTCTGTGCGTGCAGACACGGGTGTAGATCAGGATCTGTGTTTCTTTATTCCCTACACTTTGATAAGATTTCTTCTTGGCGAAAGAAAATCTTGCACACATCCCCTCCCCCCCCCCCCCGCCCCCGCACACACACACACACACACACACACACATACAAAAGTTCCACATGTGGTGATAATTCTATTGTTGCGCCCCTGTTCACCTTCTATTGCCTTGTCTGCCAACTGCCACGTCGTTCGTGAGCGTCGCTCAGTGTGTCGTGTAGCTGTGCTGTTTCCAGTGTTCGCTCACATTGTATTATCACCAGACATTATTTATGTTTAACTGTGCTCCAACTAGAATCTAGATCAAGTTATACTTTTTTGCTGTTGCTTAATTTTGCCTAAAGAGGTTATAGATTCTAGATCTATTATAATAGTTTGTTCACTTTCGTCTGACCGCGTTAAAAAAAATTCTAGCTCATTGAGGAATTTACCTATGCCCACGAAACTTTGCATGGCACTTCTGCTGGCCAGCGAGCAAACAAAAATATTTTTTCAAAAAAACTTGACCCAGTAATAAAAAAGTTTTTCTTTTTGGGCCTTGTAATTAAAACCCGCTCCTTGGACGAAAAAAAACTATAAACAGCAACTTTGCGGACAAATTGCTCATTTTGAGAGAGCGACACCGCCCTGCCCCTACATGTCAGTGTAAACTTGTCGATTTCATCCCCCGGCAGTCTAGACGTCTCCACGTGCTCCACGTGAGTCTCGAAAAATACTCACCCCTCGTCTCTTGAATCGTGTTTCTCAAGTGCCTCAGAGGCCTAGGCCTAGATCTGCACGCTCAAATTAGTTTGTCAAACATTTTTAAATTAATTTTTGTTGTTGTTGAAAGTTTGACGTTTGCCCTTCATCCTCAATTTTTTTTTTTGGGGGTCAAACATTATTTTGTGTCAAGAGTTCAAAATGGACGGACCAACAGCGTTGACTCTTGCTTTAGCCTTGCGAAGAAAATTGGTTTTTGCAGCGTCAAAAATTTGCTGACATACTTTCAATAAACAGGAATAAAAGAGCATAAAAAACACAACGAAGGCACGTAGATATCATCGGCACCGGCAACATACTTTTGAGAATCATTCAATTTCTTCAATTCCCTTCGAAAACTCGTCCGCATTGAGTTAATTTTCATTTTCATTTCTTCTTTTGTGGCATCTGCATTCCACTCCCTGTATCAGTAGCAGAGCGTCATAGGCAGCTTTTTTTTATATTTCGGCCACTGTGTTCTTTACTTTTAACTTTCCATAATATATAGTCCAGGCAATCTCTGGTACACTTCAGTCAGCTCTAAAATGTTTTTAAAATTCTTTAATGGGTAATGATGATGTAAAAAGTAAGTCTTTTCTATCCGGCAACAACTGAAAAAATATTGTTAGCACAAATAAATTTGAAGAAGCCCAAACACGATCAAATAGTTTGACGTTTTGACAAAAAAAATATCAACTGAAAACAGATCCGTCAAATATTTGACATCAAATTATTTTGACCATCAAACACGCCCATACACGATCAAAACCCTATCAAAAATATTGTGTCAAACATATTTGATCAAACCATCAAAAAGATTTGAGCGTGCATTGGGTATTTTAGGCAAACGTTAAAGAGTGGCGCTGAGAAAATATGTCAACTTTTATGTGTATGCTGTAAATTCACTATTAAGTTTCTGACCCGCTTTAGGCTTACATAAAAAAAAAATTGTCGGATCCTTAGTTTGCAGTGACTTTTATGAAGGGGCTTTTGGATTCTGTTGGTAGCTTCTTTAGAGCTGCATGCAAAGACCCGCGGGAAAGATTAAACGGAGCGATTTTTTAAAATCCCGTTTCAACCATGGTCAGACGAAAGTGAACCAGCTACCAGAGCTCGTAATTATTATTACAGTCAAACCTCGTTGACACCCCCCCCCCACCCGTTGTACCGCTATTCCCGCTTTCCGCCAGGTTTAGCCAGTATACGACAAGAACACCCCCCCCCCCCCCCGCCATATAAACATAGTATCTGCGCCTTTACACCGCATCCGCCAACTGTCTCGGTTGTACGGTCCTTATTTTTTAAAAAAATGTAAATTTACCCCGTTGTACCGCCAGCGAACCGACAGCCAGAAATATACAGTTCACATTAGGCTCCACACGGCGCACGGCACATCCACTCGGTGGCTGCTTGACAGTCTTTCACACAAGTCTCTACAACTACAAGCGAGGCATTTGCTCCTTCCCCGCCCATCCCACATCCCCACCCTTGTCTTGTATATTTCAGGAAATATGGATAGATCTACAGGGATGTAGCCTAGTGTGTCGCAAGCGAACACAAAATAATGAGTAATGTAGAAGAGTAGGCTACAATTAAAATAAAACATAACTTCGTAATTTAGCATCAAATTTCGCTCCCCGCGTGAAGGCGACTGAATTTGACGTGCTGATTATGAAAATTCTATTATTTTTAGGCCTTCGTCAATATAAAACATTGGTTTTAAATTTTAAGTCGCCGGGAGACACTTTTAAGGAGCCTCGTCATTCCCCCTGCAAAATATTTGGCGTCGTCAGTCTATACCAGCCCAATAACTTGCAGGCTGGCGAATGCCCGAGGGGCACTTCGTAAAGACTCATGCTCAAGTCTAAGTGACAGTTTGAAGGGATATAACTCATTAATTCATCTAGTGACTGGTAAACGAATGTGTATTTAATTACAAGTAATAGAGGACATGAAAACCTCGTTTACAGCCAGCCCCACTGTATCGCCAACTTCATGCTCGTCCCAAGGTAGGCGGTACAACGGGGCACATTATATTATATTATATTATGTTATATTATGTTATATTATATTATATTATATTATATTATATTATATTATATTATATTATATCATATTATATTATATTATACTAGCTGGGCCCCCTTTCGATGAAAGGAATGATCGGTGCTTTAATATCAACTGAAAGTCATTGGCCTACTATATTTACACTTTACTGGAATGGGGAAACAAATCTTGACACATGCAAAACATTAGAAGGTCTAGATCTATACTCTCAAAACAAAATGCCCCTCGCGAAATATCACTTCCGCACCGGATTTTCTAAAATTACAGAGACAGAAGCGTCGGCCTACAAAAGCGATCGGCGAAATAAAGAAATTAAGCTTTTTGCAGAAAAACTGTCTCAAAACTGAAAAAACCAAGGGCGTCATGATCTGGGGAAAATCTTAACGAATTTTTTTTGGCGAAAACCGCATG